AAAAAAAAAAAAAAAAGAACTACAATTTTATAACAGAATGATAAATAACTCGATCAAATCACGGGCAAAGGACTTGAAATCATGGGCAAAGGACTTGAATAGACATTTCATCAAGAAAGACATACACATGGCCAACAAGCACGTGACAAGATGAAGATGCACAACGTTGTTAGTCATGAGGGAAATGCAAATCACAACCACAACGCGCTATCACTTCACACCCACTAAGATGGAATACAATGTTTGCGAGGATATGGAGAAACTGGAAACCCCATCCATTGTTCCTGGGGTTATAAAATCATACAGCAGCTGTGGAAAACAGCTTGGCACTTTCTCAAAGAATTAAACATGGAATTGCCATAAGATCCAGCATTTCCACTCCAAAGCATATACCCAAAAGAATTGAAAGCAGGAACACAAACAGATACCTGTACAACCGTGTTCACTGTGGCACTACTCCCAGTAGCCAAAAAGTAGAACTGGCCTAAGTGACCATGCGTAGCTACGTGGATAAACAGAATGTGGTGCAGACATACGGTGGACTGTCCCTCAGCCATAAGGAGAGGTGAGGTCCAGATACATACTGCAACATGGATGAACCATGACAACATGCTGAGTGAAGTAAGTCAATCACAGAAAGACAAATATTACATGATCCCATTTACATGAAGCATCTAGAACCAGTTTATACAGAGCTAAGTTTATTAGTGGTTACCAGGAGCAAGCAGGAGGAGGGGAAAGGAGGGCGCATGCCTTTGAGGACACTAAACTACTTCTAAGGGTGACGCAAACATTTCTAAGTAAATAGTGGAAATGGGTAAGTGAGAGAAACGTGATTCATGTCACTGAACTGTACATGGGAAAAGTGTTTTCTTACATTTACAAAAAAAATAGTTAAAATTAAGAAAATAGTTACTTTTTTTTTTTTTTGGTCTTCCAGGTCTTTGAAACTCACAACTCTGAACATCTAGAGGAAACAAGCCTGTGGCTCGACACCGACAGTATGTGTGCTTTAGCTGAAACTGCAGTGTTGGAGGGCAGTGCTCCTGCCTCAGACCACTGCCACTCAGTACAGCATCTCTGTGTGCTTGGATCATCATTCAGAACTCTTTCATTGCTTTCAGATCATTGAACATCAAAATTTGGGGGAAAAAGGGAAGCTTAGCTACCATAGGTCTCTTGGAATTGGCATCTGGTAAACGAAACAAAGACTAGCTGATAGGTGTTGAGCACTTCTTTTGTGCCAGACACCTTACCCAGATGTTTATGTGTGTTACTCCGTTAATCTGCATCATCTCATGAGTGCCCTCCAGTCATCAGGATACTGTGTTGCAGAGAGGTTTAGTGACTTGTTAGGCAAAGTCACACAGAAATCGGCAGAGACCAGAGTGAAATCAGGTTTGCCCAAGTCTAGAGCCAAGGCACTTACTGCCAGATAAGCTGCTGGAATAATCAGACTTATGACCACATCATGACCCATAGTGCACGAGTCTGTGCCTAGGGAGCCAAAGTGTAGAATATACAACTCCTAAAGTGAATCCAACATTCGGAAAAGTGGTGGATGTAATGTAAACTTATAAAAGTGAGAACTTCCCATCTCCTAGCCACAGTTTGAGAGTTATATGAGGTGGTGTAGTTGTTAGCAACAAAACACTTTTGTGTCTTTTCAATGGCTTGGAAACTGCTCTTTGTTTCATTTTTAGCAAAGGCAGCAAGATACACGGCTGTGTTTTATAATTCCATCGATAAATACATAGATGTATTTTATGAGCACATAAAAATATATATATTTTAAAATACATACACAGTATATATATATTTTTATGTATATGTATGTATATACCTGTGTGTGTGTATTTGTCAAATCCAAAAAGAAAAATAAAGCCACTGCCATCGAGTTGACTCATAGCAGGACAGAGTAGAACTGTCCCACAGGATTTCCAAAACTGTCAATGTTTAAGGAAGCCAACTGCCATGTCATTCTCCTGCGGAGTGGCTGAGGAGTTCAAACCACCAATTTTTGGGTTTGCAGCATAGCACTCTCACCACTGTATTTCTGGGGCTCCTCTGTATGTATGTTTCACGGTCCCTAGAAAGGCGAAAACAGATACATGAAAATGCTCGACGGTGCTTATCTCTTGGTGGTAGAATTATGGGTGATTTTAATTTTCTTTTTGTTTCATTAATCTGTAGTTTCTAATTTTTCTACAACAATAAATTTTAAGTACGAGAAGAAACAATAAACATTATTTTTAAATTAGACAGTGACCTGTGAGAGCTAGAACTCGACTCCTCTGTCTTGTTTTTTCTAGGTCTGGCAAGTTACCCGCCTTTGATGGGGGGACATTCTTACTACTCTTTTTTAGTTCATGTTAGTGGAAAATACTGTTTTCCTTCTCTGATGGGTTTTCACTTTACACAGTTCTGGCTTTCTCAGACAGTTGTCCAGGAAAATTGAGGGCTAGGTTGGGAAAAGCAGAGACTTTTAGGATGAAATATATTCCTGATGGCTGTTTCATGTGAAATCTTTCCCCCACTAGTGGATTTAAGGATCATCCATGAAAACAAAATAGAAAAAGAAAGAGTCCAGAGAGTGACGCGGGAGACTTTTGGAGACTGCCCTCAACCAAGACTAGAATTTGCACAGTACCAGGTAGGACACAGCTGTGAATGCTAACTACACGTGATCAATATTTTTAAAACCCTAAGTGGAAAACAATGATAGGGAGTTCCTTTTTTGTTTTTGCTTTAGTTCTGTATGGTAGTATTGGTAAGTGGCCCTCTTTGTTTTAAGTTCCCCATTAGCAAAGGAGACCTTTTGAAATTTTGAGTAAGCCTTTCAGTTGCCTCTTCCATGTTCATTCTGTTATGTATAGCAGGTGTGATCTGCATTTCTGAGGGAACAGTTGTCAGCTCTGATCTGTAGTTTTTTCACCTTTGAACCTGTGGCACAGAGCCTTGTTCAGCACCCAGCAGGTACTCCAGGAAACTTAGTGTATAAAAGAGTGAGCGAATAAGCCATTGCATAGCCCAGTTGGCATCAGTTACCTAGATAGCACTTCACACCTGGCTCATTGCAGAAGTGGGCCCTGCACACCAGGACGGTCAGGTGAGAGGCTTCAGATGTTTAATGTAGGCCCATTGCCACCATCAGAATAGCTCCAGGTTTATACAATGACACAGGAATCTGATTCCAGGGCCATGGTCAACACCTCACCCTCAAAAACCTCCAATAAAACACTTTCTGTTCAGTCCCGCTACAGCTCCAGGCCACACTCAGAATCTGCCATTGATCTGTCTCATTGGCCCAAAGCCTGTTCAGTTTGATTTGTATTCAGTGAGAAGTTGATTGACAACTTACAGGTTTAATTTCCTGAATGCCACATTTTAACCCACTTCTTTGAAACAGCTCATAATCTAGGACCAAAAGCCAAAGCTACTGCCATCAAGTCGATTCTGACTCAGAATGACCCTATAGGACAGAACAGACCTGTCCCATATGGTTTCCAAATCTTTGCAGGAGATTGTCACACCTTTCTCCTATGGTAGCTGGTAAGTTTGAATTGCTGACCTTTTGGTCAGCAACTGAGCACTTTAACCACTGTGCTGCCAGGACTCCTTTAATCTTGGACAGTGGTTCTCAACATGTGGTCGCAGACCAGCAGTATCAGTATCACCTGGGACTGGGTAAGGAATGCATATTCTTGACCCATCCTACTCCTGCTGCATCAGAAATTCTGGGGATGGGCTCACCTGTCTGTTTTTAACAAGGCCTCTGGCTGATCTTGCACACTGAGGGAGGCACAGGTCTAAGATACATGAGATTTGATTTGCAAAACTTCCCTTTACATACTTACTCCGTAAGTCACTCTGGTGGCATAGTGCCTAAGGCACTTGACTGCTAACCAGAAGGCTGGTGGTTCAAACCCATCAGCCACTCCTTGGAAGGAATATAGGGCAATCTACTTCAGTAGTGATACCACCTTGGAAATCCAAGGAGGGGTCACTATGAGACAGGACTGACTCCACAGCAGTGAGTTTGGTTTTTTTTTTATTCCATAAGTCAGGGTGTGTACCATATTCATATCTGCTACCATTTCTTCCCTGTTTATTTTGAAAAATGTTAAACTTGTAGAAGACCTGCAAGAAGATTGCAGTGGACATCCATCTACCCTTTGCTTCAGTTCATCAGTTGTTAACAGTTGGCCTCATTTGCTTTCTCTTCTGTCTTTATTCTGAACAACTTGAGATAGTTTCAGACATTATTCACCCCCCCAAATATTTCAGTGTACTAAATTTTAAGTTCAAGGATCACTTTAAGTAAGAAAATTTGTAACTTCGAATCTAAGAGTCAAGTACTTATTGAAGGAGTGTAGGGATACTTGATGATATTAAGGAAGCATTCATTTTTTTTTAGGTGTGATTGTAGTATTGAAGTCAAGTTTTTGGAAAGAAACCTTTTCTTCTCGTGATATGGAAATATTTCACATAGGATGCTATGCTGTCTGGGATTTGGATGTGAGTGGTAGGGAATGGAGCTAGCCCTCATGGTGCTGTAGTTAAAGCATTGGGCTGCTAACCAAAAGGTTGGCAATTCAAGTGCACCAGAGGCTCTGCAGGAGAAAGCTGAGCCAATCTGCTTCTGTTAAGACTTACAGCCTTGGAAACCCTATGGGGTACTTCTAATCTGTCCTATACAGTCTCTATGAGTCAGAATTACCTCAGTGCCAGTGGGTTTCAGTGGTTTTTGGTAGGGAATGGGAGCAGGGGTAGCATGAAACAAGGCTGGATACTTGTGGTTGTGCCAGCTGAGTGGTGCCCATGTGGGAATTCATTAGGCCTTGCTCCTTACTTTATATGTGTTTTAAATCTTCCATAATAATAATTAAAAAAACAGACCCACTGCCGTCAAATCGATTGTGATTCATAGTGACCCTATTTGACAGAATAGAATTGCCCCCACGGAATTTCCAAGGCTGTAAATCTTTACAGAAGCAGACTGCCTCATCTTTCTCCCATGGAGCAGCTGTTGGGTTTGAAGCACCAACCTTTTAGATAGCAGCCCACAGCTCCATGGCTCCTTTCCATAATAAGTTAAAAAGAAATAGCAGTAGTGACTCAAAAGACTTGACATTCTTACACGGAAGTAACAGATTACAAAAGATAATGCTGGTTTCCCTAAAGAATGCATGTGGTAAAGGGCAGTTGAGGACATTGACCTTCACCATTGCCCATGTATCAGTACTATACATGCTTAGCATTCTATGTGAGCTCTCATTTAGTGTACTGATCACCCTCAAAATTTGCAGTTAACACATTAATTGGCCCCCACTCCCACTAACGTTTGTATTTCTTGATGATAGAAATTAATGAAGTGCATAATCTGATCTTATTCAGTTTCACCATTGCAACTGACATGTTTAATAATCATTTATAAATGTATTTGGTGACAGCTTGAAACAAAGTTCAGAAGTGACTTTCGTGGGGGCATCTTGGCTGATCGGGAGGAACCCCTGAGGTGCCTGATAAAGTTCTCTAGTCCACATCTTCTGGAGGCATTGAAATCCCTAGCACCTGCCGGTGAGTAGTCAGCTTATTTCACAAGTTATAAAAAGGAACATAGAAGTGTACCTCATTTTATTGCACTGTACTTTACTGTGCTTCGCAGTTACTGTGTATTTTACAAATGGAAAGTTTATGGTCACCTATGCCAAGCAAGTCTGTCAGCACCATTTTTCCAACAGTATGTGCTCGCTTTATATTTCTGTGTCACATTTGGTAATTCTCGCAGTATTTCATACTTTTTCATGCTATTGCACACTTAATAGATGAGAGTACAGTGTAAACGTAACTGTTACACACACTGGGAAACGAAAACGTTCGTTATCTCACTCTTTTGCGTTACTCTGGAACCAACCTGCGTTATCTCCGAGGTCTGCCTTGCCTACCCTCAGTCCTGTCTTTGCTGAGTCATGATTTCCGAGCTTTCTTCTTGCTCCATGGAATATCCCATCATGCCTTCTTTTGTGCTTTCTGCTTCTGCGTTGAACAAGGATCATGGTCCACCCTGTAATCTTGGTCATTTTGAAACCCATTTAAATCTTTGCCCCTGTGATTATTTTAAATTTGTTTCTTTTTTTTTTTTTTTCTAGGTATTGCAGACGCACCACTTTCTCCACTGCTCACTTGCATTCCCAGCAGGGGAATTAATTATTTTAAAATTAGAGATAAATGAGATTTATGGGGTTTGATGAGCCCAGTAGCCCCTTGACTCTGTTGCACATGTGTTTCAGTTAATGGCTGACTAGACCACTTGTGTCTATAAATTGTATTTTAGAAAAGAATCCTTAGTGTTCAGTTTTAGGAATGTACATAGAGCTGCTGAGATTGATTTTTCCCTTCTCCCCCAATTATCCTGAAGATACAGCAAATATGGGCATTTGAGATGTGAAGGGATAGATTGATGTGGCTCCAGACTTGATCCTGTGAGGCCTGACAGCTTTGACATCAAGTCTGCATGGCGCACAGTTTGAGTCTATTGGACATTGACTCAAGTGCCCTTTCCCCATCCTGTCTCCAGCCTTTGGGAGATCTGGTTCTAATTGCTGACTTCCAGATACTTTCCCTTAAGCTTTTGATAACAGAAAGCAACACCAAGAAACCCCACCTAGCTCCGACTGTCTAGGAGAAACGTACAATTGGCCCATTCCGAGGGTAGAGTGGAGTCTGTTATATTATTGCAGGAGGCATCATATCAGATGATTTAATTATATAAAATAATGGCTGCCTTATAACTATACTTCTCATCATCTGTTTTATTATATGTATGACATTCAAACTGACTGTTGTTATACTGATTTGTTAATAAAGATATTTAAAAATTGGACCAGCAGTTAAAATGAAAATCCTTCAGGGAAACATCATGTAAATATTAGTAAATAACATGTTTTTATAATAATTATGTATTTTTAAATCTACTTCATCTCTTATTCCAAAAGGATTTGAGGTTATCCAAACATGTTACAGTTGTGGCACAAGTAAAGGAAGAGGAAATCTGGGCAAGTGGGACAACAAAAATGAGAGAGGAACCAAGTGAAGCTGGTGATCAAAGAACTCGGGAAGAACAGACAAGTGGCTTGCAAGTTACCAAAAGACTGGACATTCAGTTTGAAGTTTGCCAGTGGCCAAAGCAGAGAAGAAAACACCAACTAAAAATCCCTAGTACCTAGAAGACATAACACATGCCTTACAGTGGTCAGTGAAACATACATGAAAACCTTCCTGCCCCTTCTCCAAGGACCCCTTGGTGGCATAATAGTTAAGTGCTTGGCTGATAACTGAAAGGACATTAATTCAACCCATCTCTACAGGAGACAGATGTGGCATTCACCTTTCATAAAGATTACAGCCTATGGGCAGTTCTACTCTGTCCTGAAGGGTCACTGTGAGTTGGACTAAACACCAGTGAGGTTTTTTGTTTGTTTTCACTGCCCTCTCCAGCTTGCCCACCTGGGTTCTGGAATCCCACACTTTTTTCTAACCCAGTCTTACATCCTTCTCTAACCAGTTAGAGCCATGGCCAAGTCCTACATCCTCTGAAGAAAGCAACTCAAGATATAAAGACCAATTTTGTACTTTTCGTTTACAAATAGGAAAAAAAAAAAAAAAAAAAAAGACTAAGCAATGCTGTATAATATAATGGTACTGGCTACCAGTTGTGGGTCTAAAATTTAACTAGCAAATGTAGTATATGCTGCAGTTATCTCAAAGTGAGGTGCTGAGTTTGTAGGGGCTGAATAAGGCTAATTTCAGCATAGCCGGACGTCACTGGTTTGCTTAGAGCATCCACACTGGGTCCTTCTGCTCAGTACCTGAATGCTTGTGTTGCATGTGTACAGAGGCCCTATAGGCTCCCAGTCAGCTGGCTCACAGCCTCAGCTGGTGTTTGGCAAGGATGTGGATCTGGAGGCCAGAATGGGAAAGACAAGTTATCCAGCTTATAGTGCAACCACCTGAGGCTGCACCCTGCCCCCACCTAGCCAGGCTTCTGCTTAAGGAGAGGTGAGTGCTGGTTGGGGAGTCACTCAACAGTCTGCTTACAGACATGACATTTAAATGCAGCATTGGGAACAGATGCAGAAGTAAATGCAGTGTGACCTAGGGCAAGTGACTTCACTTCTCTAAGCCTAGATTTCCTTCTCAACAGAATGGTGGGTGAAGAATGGAAGGATTCACAGGACATCTGCCCCCCACCAGGGTTGTTTGAATGAAAAGGGCACACTAGAGTGCCTGACACACAGTAAACCCTCAATAAATGACAACTGTGGTTAATGGACTGTCACTTCTCCTGTGCTGACTTTTATTTCTATTCTTTGAGAAGCAGAATTAAAGTTCCTGAAACATTGTCTTTGCTTCTGTCCAGCGATTGCCTGAGGTCAAATTTCTAGGAAGGCAAAGAACAGATCAGCTAGACCACTGCCTTTTATTGGTCCCCAGACACTCAGATTGCAGTTGTCAGTGGATTTCATTTTACTTGGATTCACAATTAATGCCCATGGAAGCACCAGTCAAGAAATCAGAAGTCATATTGCACTGGGGAAATTGCTGACAAAGACCTCCTTAAAATGTAAAGAGTAAAACTATCACTAGAAGACTAAGGTGTGCCTGACTCAAGGCAGGATATTTTGTATAGCCCCATGTGCATATGAAAGCTGGACAATGGATGGGGAAGACCTAAGAAAAATTGATGCTTTTTAATTGTGGCATTGGCAAAGAATATTGAAAATACCATGGACTCCCAGAACAAATCTTTCATGGAAGAAGTACAGCCAGAAAGCTCCTTAGAAGCAATAATGGCCAGACTTTGAGTCTTGTACTTTGGTCATGTTGTCAGAAGGGATCATTCCCCGGAGAAGGACATCATGCTTGGTAAAGTGAAGGGCAGCGAAAAAGGGGGAAACTCAGCGAAACGGATTGACACAGTAGCTGCAAACGATGGGTTCAAGCATAGCAAAGGTTGTGAGCATGGCACAGGACCGGGCACTGTTGTCGTTCTGTTGTATGGAGGGTCGCTATAAGTCGGAACCAACACGAGGGCAGCTAACTACAGATAACTGGGTGAAGCTTTGCAGCGGTGACACCAAGGTTTGGTGGCCCACAGAGGGCGCAGCGGGCCGAGGCAGGGCGGTACTGAGCGCAAACTAGTCTCCCAGCCCAGCCGGATGCTAATGAGCCGGTGGCTCCGCCCCCTGCCGGAAGTGGTTGCGGCGGAAGGCCGGGCCTGAGCGCTCGCCTGGTGTCGTGCAGCAGCCATGGCGGCTTCTGAGGCGGCGGCGGCGGGTCCCGCGGCTCTGGCCTCGGGCACCCCGGCCGTTCTGGCGGCTGCGAGGGGAGCCGCCGCCGCCTCGGGCTCGTGGGGGCCCCCTGGACGGCTGAGAGGCAGCCGGCCGCGACTCACGGCCACGAGCCAGCAGCCCGCAGCTCCAGTGCCGCCGGCCCGGGAACTGATCCAGCCGTCGGTGAGCGAGCTGTCTCGGGCCGTGCGGACCAACATTCTCTGTACCGTGCGCGGCTGCGGCAAGATTCTCCCCAACAGCCCGGCGCTCAACATGCACCTGGTCAAGAGCCACCGCCTGCAGGTGAGCCCTACCCGACGGGGGTGTCGCCCCTCCGCCCGACCTGCCTCGGGTCGCGCGGGCCGCAAGGCGCTGCGGCCTGGACCCGGGTGCCTGGCATACCCTCCTTCTAACAAAGCGCACCGCGCCTGATGCGTGCACGGAAAAGGAGGCACTGGGCCCGGGATTCCAGAAGGGACTGGGGAGTTTCCAATTTGTGGATTGTAATTATTTGTACTCAGCCTCTTCATGGTTAAAATTTGAGGCGGCTTTAAAATACGTAAAACAGGCTAAACAAATAAGGGAAGCGTAACTAGGAGAAATTAAGAACGAGCGCACATGAACACATAATAATAGGAAAATACTGTGTCATGCCACTCAAGCGTCGGGCTCAGACAAGTCATTACGTACTGGCCTCGTACTTCGTGCCAATCACTGGCACAGGTATTGTACAGATTTTGCCTCATGAGTTCTTACAGCGACTTTGTGAGATGCACATTATCCCCATTGAACTGATGAAAAACAAACTACACACAGTAGATGGTGGTGGTTAGGTGTGGTGGAGTCATTTCCCGCTCACAGCGACCCCATGTGCAGCAGAAACATAGCTCCCCCCTGCTCCATCCTCACAGTCACGGCTATGTTGTTGCACCCTCTGTGTCAACCCATCCTCTTGAGGGTCTCCCTCGTCTACTGACATTCTGCTTTTCCAAGCATGATGTCCTTCACCTCGGACTGGTCCCTCTTGTTAACATGTCCAAAATACACAAGACGAAGTCTTGCTGTCCTCTGTGGATGGGATTATATTTATGAGCAAGCATACATGACTGCACATTAGACAGTCTCACCATCCTACCCCTTCTAGGGAACATTCTGGCTCTACCTCTTCCGAGACAGATTAGTTCATTCTTCTGGCAGTCCACAATATAATCATCATTCTTCATTGAGACATAATTCAAAGGTGTCAGTTCTTCGGTCTTCCTTATTCATTGTTTACTTTTCCATGCATATGAGGCAACTCATAATACCACGGCTTGAGTCAGGTGCACTTTAGTCCTCAGAGTGACAGCTTAGCTTTTAAACACTTTAAAGAGGTCTTTTGCAGGAAATTTGCCCAATACAATATGTAGTTTGATTTCTTGGGTGCTGCTTCCATGGGTGTTGATTGTGGATCCAAGTAAATTGAATTCCTTGACAACTTCACTGTTTTCTCCATTTATTATGAGCTTATTGGCCTAGTGTGAGGATTTTTTGTTTTCTTTACGTCGAGGTGTAATCCACCCATACTAAAGGCTGTAGTCTTTAATCTTTGGCAATAGGTGCTTCAAGTCCTCTTCACTTTCAGCATGCAAGGTTATGTCATCTGCATATCACAGATTGTTAACGAGTCTTGCTCCAATACTGATGCCGCATTCTTCTTCGCAGTTGAAGTATTATAATGAAGTATGCAAAGACTTGCAGTTAGAAAACCAAAAGGAAAGAATACACTAGGCATTTCTCAAGCTGAAAAAACTGAAGAAAAAATTCAGTCCCATCAGAAAGCAGATGTTATCAAACAATAGCATTAATATGACATGCAAGTAAAATTTTGCTGAAGATAATTCCAAAAACGGTTGCAACAGTACATTGACCGGGAACTGCCAGAAATTTAAGCCCAATTCAGAAAAGGATATGAAAGGAAGGATATCATTGCTGATGGCAGATGGATCTTGGCTGAAAGCACAGAATACCAGAAAGATATTTACCTGTGCTTTGTGGACTATGCAGAAGCATTCAACTGTATGTCATAACAGATTATGGATAACAGTTCAAAGAATGGGAACTCCGAAACACTTCGCTGTGCTAATATAGAACCTTTACATAGACCATGGTTTATAATCAGGAAAGATGTGTGTTGGGGTTGTATCCTCTCAGCAGGCTTATTCATTCTGTAGGCTGAGCACATAATCTGAGAAGCTGGACTATATGAAGAAGAATGCAACATCAGGATTAGAGGGAGATTGAAAGAAGAAATTTTGCCTGTGGAATCTTCTGTATCCCAACTCCAGGCTTGAATCTTTTCTTCGAGTCTTTCAGCTTGAGAAATGCCAACCACGTTCTTCCCTTTTGGTTTCGTAACTCCAGCTCTTTCTACATTTCGTTATAATAGTTTACTTTGCCTTCTAGAGCTACTCTTTGAAATCTTGTGTTCAGCTCTTTTACTTCATCAGTTCTTCCATTTCCTTTAGCTACTGCATGGTTAAGAGCAAGTCTCAGAGTCTTTTCTGACATCCAGTTTGGTCTTTCTTTCCTGTCCTTTTGCTTTCTTCATGTATGATGTTATTGATGTCATCCCATAACACATGTGGTCTTTGGTTTTTAGTGTTCAGTGCATCAAATACTCTTGAGATGGTCCCTGAACTCAGGTGGGGTGTACTCAAAGTTGTGCTTTGGCTTTCGTGGATTTGTTTTAATTTTCTTCAACTTTGCTTGAACAGTTATTTGTTTGTTCTGCAGTCAGCCCCTGGCCTTGTTCTGATGATGATATTGAGCTTCTCCATCATCTCTTTCCACAGGTGTAGTCTATTTGATTCTTGTCTAATTCCATCTGGTGAAGTCCACTTATATAGTCCCCATTTATGTTGTTGAAAAAGGTATTTCCATTGAATAGGTTGTTGATCTTGCAAAAATCTTATCATGTGATCTCCAGCATCATTTCTATCACCATGACCATATTTTTCAACTACTAATCCTTTGTTTTCACCATTTGCATTCCAATCACCAGTAATTATCACTACAAATCGATTGCATGTTTTATCAGTTTCATACTGCAGAAGTTGGTTTAAAATCTTCAATTTCTTCATCCTTGGCATTAGTGGTTAGTGCATAAATTTGAATAATAGGTGTATTAACTGGTCTTCCTTGTAGACGTGGATTTTTTTTCTGTCACTGACAGCATTGTACTTCAGGATAGATTTTGAAATGTTCTTTTGACAATGAACACAATGCCATTCCTCTTTAATTTCTCATATGTAGAACATGGATCGTCTGATTCAAAATGTGGCCATTTCTTACCAGTCCATTTCAGTCAGCTCACTAATGCCTAGGATGCCAATCTTTATGTATTCCATTTCATTTTTGATGACTTCCAACTTTCTTAGATTCACACTTTATACATTCCACATTCCAATTATTAATGGAAATTTATAGCTGTTTCTTATTTTGAGTCATACCACATAAGCAAATGAAGGTCCCATAAGCTTTACTCCATCCACGTCATTAAAGTTGACTGTACTTTGAGGAGGCATTCTGGTGGTGTATAGTTAAGGCATTTGACTGCTAACCAAAAGTTCATTCAAACCCATCAGCTGCTCCATGGAAGGAAGATGAGGCATTCTGTTTCTGTAAAGATTTACAGCCTTAGAAACCCACTCGGGTTCGCTGAGTCAGAACTGACTTGATGGCAGTGAGTTTGGTTTGGTATTTGGTACTTTGAGGAGGCAGCTCTTCCCTGGTCATAGTTTGAGTGCCTTCTAACCTGAGGAGCTCATCTTCTGGCACTGAGAGAGTGTTCGCCGCTATTCATAAGCTTTTCTCTGGCCAGTTTGTTAACCAGTAGATTCCCAGGTCCTTCTTCCTAGTCTTAGTCTGGAAGCTCCACTGCAACCTGTCCACCATGAGTGACCCTGCTGAGATTTGAAATACCGGTGACACATCACACCAGCCAACACAATCCACTGTTGCACAACCAACTGACAGACAAGTAGTGCTGGGCTTTGAACCTGGCTCTCTCGTTCTGAACCCCTAGTTCTTTCCACCACACTCACAGTACCCCCCAGAGGCTTTTTAAGTCTGCCGGCTTGTTGGAAGGGAACTGGAGATTTGTCTCTAAGCACCATCAGTTATAAGTGTCCCCTAAGGGAAATCACTCCTGTGCGGCACCCTTAAAAGAGGACATGGTGTGACGTGGCAGTAGTCTGAACAAATTCAGATCATCCTTAGTACTACATGCTCTGTGCGTTTTTCAGGTAATCCTCCTTGGAAACTTTCTTAGAATCAGGCTTCCAGTAAGGATCCTATAGCAGAAAGTTTACGGTTGGATTCTCTAGTAAGAGAAATGTGTTGCCCATGAAAGATGATCCTACTTTGACCATCAGCTTAATAGACACAGCGTTCTCATGTGAAGATGAAGGAGGTATGCTGAGGAAGCCCCTGTAGGCAGGGTCACAGTTTTCCTCAGAATAGTTCTGAGTTTCTTCCAGCACAGAGATACACAAGTACGGTAAATAACTCTGGGAATGATCTTTAATCTACTGTTTTCTCTCTTAACTAGATAGTTTCTTTTCTTAATGTGGGTGGATGAGCTATATATATTTACAGGAATTCTACAGCCTAACCCTTGGTTCTCTTTAGCTCATATACAACTGTCCTCCCCACACCCCTTCAGTAGTCCCATCAGTGATCAGTAGCTCTAGCAAGCAGTACACCTGTGAGCATCTGACTAGGTTCCTCCTTGGTGTTGGCCTGGACATCACTGTAACAAGCATCTCTCAACAGTTGATATTTTTCTTTTTCCTGGAATTGCTATTTGGAGCTCTTTATCTCTAAAGACTTTAAGAATCTATTAGCATAAAAACCACTACCTTGGAATCAGTTGCAACTCTTAGCAGACCCGATAGGACAGAATAGAACTGCCCCCGGACAGTTTCCAAGGCTGTAAATCTTCATGAAAGCAGACTGCTTCGTCTTTCTCTACAGAGTGGCTCATGGGTTTGAACCACTGGCCTTTTGGTTCCTAGTTGAATGCATTAACCACTGTGACACTAGAGCACCTTTTTTTTTCCTAATGATGTTCTTAAAACATGTAAAGTTTGGGAATTCAGAAGATACTATGAAGTAAAATATAATAGGCCTAAGAAGGAAGAACCCAGTTTAGGCACATCCACATTTTGGCAGTCATACCTTTACTTTCAGGAGCTCTGGTAGCATAGTGCCTAAGGCACTTGACTGCTAACCAGAAGGCTGGCGGTTCAAACCTACCAGCC